GATTGTAAACTTGCTGGTTGGTTCTCTCCAAGTGGCAGAGAACCAACCAGCAAGTTTACAATCCAGTACCTTATCCCATCTCTGTATCAGGGTGGGGTAGTGAAATCGTGCAACCCTGAAGCATAGGGAGCCATAAGCATAGATAAGCACAGTACAGATTTGAACTTTTTAAAATGGGGATGCAATTGGCCAGAGGAAGATTTTGCACCACTCAATGAGTAATAGTCTCCCTTCTTCAAGAGATGGTTGCCCCACTTAGCAAGTTGGCTGCTGCGTTTTGGACCAGCTTTAATTGGCACTCTAGTTTTAATTGTGCAAAGGGGCACTCCTGGCCGTGGCCAAAACTTGGGCATCTAGACTCAGAGACATATCCAGCCAGCACCAAGTTGCTATATATTGTCATGTCACCTAATGACTTTCGCCATCTTGAATTATATTATTATTGTTTTCTTTATTTTATTATATTGTTTTCACTTTTATGTATAGTTAGCTGCCCAAAGCAAACTTTGGTTTAGATGGGAGGGGTATAAATTAAATTAAATAAAACAAACAAACAAACAAATAAATGTTGCTTTCCCATCAAGAATCTATGTGATAACCATTCTAAGGCACTGGTGGCTTTCTGTCTTCATCAGGACTCAATCGTAAGCTTACTGAAACTTTGGCTGGTCCAGAATCAGAGGCCAGTTTTCTAGATCATGCATGGCAGACCTTTTAAGGACTGAGAAACAGCCTGAACTATATAGACTCCTGAGTAAATCGTTGCTCAAGATATCCAGGGATGTGTGATGTCCTTTTCTACTAATTTAACTTACAAGATTCTTACAAATGTGAAAGCCAGGTTTCAATGGATTTGATTCTTGGGGGGGGGGGAATCCGAAAGTTCAGGTATTGAGCAATCAGAGATAGCAACAATAACAACAACAATGAGAGGTGGGTAGCTCCATTCCTCCCTGCCAAATGTCCACATAGGGAGGTTCAGTTGCAAAAAATCTTGCTTGCCGGGGTCAAAGTGTAACTCTTCTGCCGGAGAACGGAGTGATCAGTTATTTGAATAGCACCATGCCTCAACAGCGTCCATGCCCAATTGAATTTGAGCCATGAAAGTTAATATTAAAATATACCAGTGGCCACAACGTTTTGGTCTTCTTTATTTTAGTGTGAGCTTTTTGCAGTCCACTTCTTTCACCTTTCAGAAGCTTTAGCAACAAGAATTAAAAAGGGAAATTTGGAAGAAAAATTCTCAGAGCACCATGGCAGAAGGCTGCAGTAGGGGGTGATGAACAAGGAGTTCTAATTGGCAATATTATGATGATAATTATGGAACTACACAGCTGGAAAGGATCCTATGGTTCATAGAGTCCAGCCTCTGTTAAATAGGAACAGTGGGGAATTGAACTCCCAACCTCTGGCTCTGCAGCCAGAGACCTAAACCACTGAGCTATCCAACTCAGGGTGAAATTGTGCCTGTCTCCATTTTCAGAGAAGTCAAGATTTGCAGAGAAGTCAAATGAAATAAAATAATCACAAATACCCAGCAAGCAACCTATTCATTGTTTAAAATAATATTTTGTTTCAAAATGTATGCCTCAGTCAGTCAATAAATGCAGATGATAGCAAGATAATAAATTTTATTTATTTATTTATTTA